CAATCGACATGGCCAGCGGCGGAGCCCATCTGCCCTTCTCTGCCGCATGGCTCGGTCGCTGCAAGCGGAGAGGGTCAGATCGAATCGGGGCAGTTGCAGGCTTTCATTCAGCTCGATGTCAGCTGCTCGATCGGCTAGATGGTCCAAAACACATGGCGCCAGCTGATCTGATCGGGGGGCAATTTCAGGCTTTCTTTACATATTTCTCTTCAAATGTGTAAACTTTTTTCAAATTCAATTTTTTTCTAAATGTTGTGTTTTTTTAGAATTTGTAAACTTTTCCTCAAATTTCCAAACGTTTTCAATTCATCCATGAACTTTATTCAAGAAACAAAAAGTTTTTCATATTCATGGACTTTTCTCAGCTTTTGCGAGTTTTTTTCTTAAAATTAATGATTTCCCCCTTTTTGTGAACTTTTCTCAAAATTCAAAAATGTTTTCCATATTTGTAGAGTTTTCGTTTTCTCAAAAATGTGATTTTTTAAAATGCGTGAACTTTCAAAAACTTACGATTTTTCTTCTTCAGATTTATGGTTATTTTGTTTACTCCCCATATTAGGTTTACCGAAAGTTGTCAATGAGTTTTACTAGCATAATGAATAACATTTAGTTTCTTATCAACCTTTTGTCCTAGAACAACACCAGCATCATAATCACTAGTATCACACATCAGCTCAAAAGGCAAGTTTCAATCAGGTGGTTGAACAACCTGTGCAGTGATTAAGGCTTTCTTTAGTGTTTCAAAGGCTTTCATACAATTATCATCAAACACAAAGGAAATATCTTTTTGCAAAAGATTAGTGAGAGGCCTAGAAATTTTAGAAAAGTCTTTGATAAACCTCCTATAGAAACCAGCATGACCAATGAAACTATGGATACCTTTGATATCTTTAGGATATGGCATTTTCTCAATTGTATCAACCTTGGCTTTGTCCACCTCAATGCCTCTTTCAGAAATTTTATGGCTCAAGACAATACCTTCATTAACCATAAAGTAGCACTTCTCCCAATTCAAGACAAGATTTGTTTGTTCACATCTCTGCAAAACTCGATCAAGATTGCTTAAACAATCATCAAAAGACTTTCCATAAACAGAAAAGTCATCCATGAAAACCTCAACAATCTTTTCACAAAAATCAGATAATATAGCAGTCATACATCTTTGAAAGGTAGCAGGTGCATTACGTAAACCAAAAGGCATACGTCTATAAGCAAATGTTCCAAAAGGACAAGCAAAAGTGGTCTTTTTTTGATCAGATTGTAAATCAGGTATTTGTGAAAAGCCAGAGTATCCATCAAGGAAGCAAAAATATGTGTGCTTAGATAGTCTTTCTAACATTTGATCAATAAAAGGCAGAGGGTAATGATCTTTTCTATTAGCTTTATTTAATTTTCTATAATCAAATACCATTCTGTAGCCTGTGACAATTCTTTGTGGAATAAGCTCATTTTTATCATTAGGAACAACAGTAATACCTCCCTTCTTAGGGACATAATAAACAGGACTTGCCCATCTACTATCAGCTATGGGATACATTATACCTGCTTCCAGAAGTTTCAATATTCCCGTTCTTACTACTTCTTTCATTTTCGGATTTAATCGACGTTGGTGATCAACAACGGGTTTAGCATCAGGTTCCATATTAATCTTGTGCTGACATAGAGTGGGACTAATGCAGTTAAGATCATCAAGAGTATATCCAATAGCAGGCCTGTGCTTCCTTAGAATTTTCAATAATCTTTCTTCTTCATGTTCTGAAAGGTTAGCACTAATAATAACATGATATATCTTCTTTTTATCAAGATAACCATATTTTAGAGTGCCTGACAATTGTTTTAGTTCAAACACAGGATCACCTTTAGGTGGAGGAGGACCTCCTAGAATTTCAATAGGCAAATTGTGTTTGAGTAGAGGTTGTTATTCAAAAAAGATTTTATCTATTTCATTTCTTTCACGCATATGCAAATCATTTTCATGGTCTAGCAAATATTGTTCCAAAGGATCAGTAGGAGGCACAACAATAGAAGCAAGACCAATAATTTCATCTTTATTAGGCAAATCTTTCTTATGAGGTTGTTTACTAAACTTGGAAAAATTAAATTCATGAGATTCATCATCAAAGCTAACACCGACAGTTTGTTTCTCACAATCTATTTTAGCATTGACGGTGTTCAAGAAAGGTCTACCAAATATAATTGGCCAAAAGTTATCTTGTGGGGTGGTAAGAACAAGAAAATCAGTAGGGTATTTTATTTCCCCACACAAGACTTCAACATCTCTAAGAATCCCAATTGGTGAGATAGTATCTCTATTAGCAAGTTTGATAGTAACATCTATGTCTTCTATTTCAACAGGTGCTATTTCATCTTTAATTTCTTCATATAATGAGAAAGGAATAGCACTCACACTAGCACCTAGGTCACATAACCCATGATAACAGTGATCTCTCATCTTAACTGACACAACAGGCATGCCAACAACTAGTCTATGTTTATCTTTTCCTTCAGGTTTGGCAATTCTGGAAGCTTCACCACAGAAATAAATAACATGCCCATCAATATTATCAACTAAGAGATCTTTAATCATAGCAACAGTAGGTTCAACTTTGATTTGTTCAGATGGTTTGGGTGTTCTAACATAACTTTTGTTAATCACAGTTGAAGCTTTAGCATGTTCCTTCATCATAACAGGAAAAGGTGGTTTTCCAATATAAGCAGTGGAAACAACTGGATCAATATTGTAAATGATAGTTTCTTCTTTAGCTTTTACCGGTTCTTTAACTTTTTCTTTAATTGGTGGGTGATATTTAAACCACTTCTCATTAGGGAGATCAACATGAGTAGCAAAAGATTCACAAAAGGAAGCTACTATCTCAGAGTCAAGTCCATATTTAGTGCTAAACTTTTGAAAGGCATATGCATTCATAAATTTTTTAACACAATCAAACTTAGGTTCAATACCTGACTCTTTACCTTCGTCGAGTTCCCAATCTTCAGAGTTGCGTTTAATTCTTTCTAAAAGATCCCACCGAAATTCAATTGTCTTCTTCGTAAAAGAACCAGTGCAAGAAGTATCAAACATGGATTGATCATTACGAGAAAGTTGGGCATAAAAATTATGTATAATAATTTCTCTCGAGAGCTCATGATTGGGCCATGAATATAACATTGACTTAAGCCTCCCCCAAGCTAGAGCAATACTTTCTCCTTCACGAGGCCAAAAATTATATATATAATTCCAATCACGATGAACTAGATGCATAGGATAAATTTCTAATGAAATTTCAATTTCAAATGGTTCCAGTTCCAAGATCCATATTGTTTCTTTCCTTAAGTTTAATGATTTCCTTATTTTGTGAACTTTTCTCAAAATTCAGAAATGTTTTCCATATTTGTAGAGTTTTCTTTTTCTCAAGATTTTTAAAATGCGTGAACTTTCAAAAACTTACGATTTTCTTCTTCAGATTTATGGTTATTTTGTGAAGTTACTGTCAACGGATGAACGAATGAGCGAGGGGGAGAACACCCGAGCGAGCCGAGGCCAGTGAGCGCGAGCTTGCTAGCCAGCGCCCGCACGCAACGCTATGTTGTTTTGCCCACAACCCACTACATAGTACTCCCTCCGTTTTTATTTACTATGCATATTAGGTTTGACCAAAGTCAAACTTCATAAACTTTGACCAACTTTATAGAAAAAAAGTATGAACATTTACAATAGCAAATCTATACAATGTGAAAGTGTATTCAACAATGAACCTAAGGTGATTGATTTGTTATTGTATATGTTAAATATTTTTATCTAAAAACTTTATCAAAGTTTATAAAGTTTGACTTTGTCCAAAACTAATATGCAGAGTAAATAAAAACGGAGGGAGTACAACATATGCATATCAGAATCAAACATGCGGCCGGTTCATCGGTAAGTCATTTCTGAGCTCGAGCTCATCTACGCCCAATGAACACTAAATTTCTGGGCATCAAATAGCTGCTTCCAGGTTCATTGCATGCTGCAATTTGGTAGGGCATACATATAAGAATCAACAGATCTGAAAATGGATAACAGAGTCTGAAAAACTGTCCGAAAACCGAGACGCTGACTCAAGACCGACACATGTTTTTTCAGAAAAGCACTGCAAAATGCAAATCCTCAAGGGCCCTGCTGGCTGCTAGCCGGTTGAGTTCGCCGTCACGAAGACATTGACTGCTGATATATAGTACATAAGAGCATCTCCAACAGCCGTGCTAAACTAGCGCCGCGCCGTAAATTAGGCCGTTTTAGCGCGCGCGCAGCGCGGCAGGTGGCTCCAGCGGGCGCGCAAAAACGGCGCGCGCTATAACGAGTTGGGCGCGCGGTCGGAAGCACTATCCCGCGCGGTGTATTTCGGCCGCCTGCTTCCGCGCGCGGCGCACTCGAGCGCTCGCGCCGCACTCTCTCCTCTCCTCCTCCTACGCCCCGCGCGCGCCGGCGCCGGTGCCCTGCCACCCATGGATGCGCACACCGGCACCCCGCTCACCCCGTTGTACAGCCGCGACCCCCCCGTCGCCGCCGCCGGAGACCCTAGCGCGGCCTCGGCCCATGGGTGGCGGTGGCCTCGGCGG